TTCACGGCTCCAAGGTCATGCTCCATATTTGGTGAGACCAGCTCGGCGTAGTGTATTATGAGCTGTTAAAACCGACTGAAACCATCACAGGCGATCGAACGCAATTGATGCGTTTGAGCCGAGCATTGAAAGACAAACGGCCGCAATACAACGAGAGACACGATAAAGTGATTTTGCAGCATGACAATGCTCGACCCCATTGCGAAAGTGGTTAAGACATACTTGGAAACGTTGAAATCCTACTCCACCCGCCGTATTCTCCAGACATTGCTCCCTCTGACTATCACTTGTTTCGATCAATGGCACACGGCCTGGCTGACCAGCATTTCCTTATGAGATCTTATGAAGAAGTAAAAAATTGAATCGATTCGTGGATTGCCTCAAAAGATGACCAGTTTTTTCGACGCGGGATTCGTACACTGCCCGAAAGATGGGAAAAAGTAGTGGCCAGCGATGGACAATACTTTGAATCATAAATGTATAACCAATTTTTTACAATAAAGCCTCGAATTTCGGAAAAAAACGGTGAAAGCAAAGTTGTACACCTAATATGAAACTTAATCCAACCGGAATTGAAAAAATATCTGAAAGATTTAGTCGAAAAACTATTGCTTCAGAAGGTCAATTGTTGATACCCAACAAACACAACGTTACATGTAACATACATAATGTAATTGTTATATAACATACGTGTTATATAGCAGTTATATTGTTGAGTAGGAAATTATAACTAACATGTATGTTACATGTAACGTTGTCTTTGCTGGGTAGCAATATGGTTTCTAGCAACACCAAATTTATATAAGTAATTCATATATTGTGACGTGGCAGCCTCGGAGGCGCCCGTCCCAAGAAAAACCGTACCGATTTTGTGTGAATGTTTGTCGCGTATCGTCTCGCGAACGAATTCTCGCGGATATTATCGGTTATCGCGTCCCGGCGTATTTTTGTTCGTGTAAGTCTCTAGGACGAATATTGGAAGCGATTTGGAGCGATTGGGAGCGGAGCAGATGCAAAGGTTATCGCGTCCCTAACTTGCCCCTCGGCTTCCCTTGCCGGCCACCAGGACCAACGGAGCTGAGGACATCGAGGGACGACGGAACAGCGGCCGACGGCTCATCGCTCTCTCAGGTGAACCGCTCTCGATAAAATTACCGTTAGAAAATTCTCGAATTCCCGATCGCTCAGCGATACTGAATATTATAACGTTTAGAATATTCCGAATCGAGAACACTGTCGCGGATCCGACGGAAGAAGTTCCCGTCAGCGAGCGAACGTGCGCGCTGATCTTGCCTAGCGCTAGGCGCGGTGAGGTGTTAGGAGATCGCCGAATGACACAAGGCAATTACATCACAATCACTTATTTATTGAACGACACTGATCATAATAGTACAGCGCCGGCGAGGATCGATGGTCACAGTTAGACAACGGAAATCTTCTTGGTGCCTACGGCCGGGTCAGCTGGTCGCGACGGAAATCTTGCTGCGCGCAGCGGAGGCGCTTCGCGAACGGAGATCTTGAGCATGAGCGACGGAAATCTTCCGCGTCCCTGGCACTTGCGTTAGCGGACGTCGATCCAGCGCCCGAGCGATGACAATGACAAAAAAAAACGGCGACAGACAAATAAAGTTGCGTTATCGGTTGTCGATGGTCAGCGAGAGGTTGCCCCGGTTCGAAGCTGACCAGGAAGCGGCGCCGCAGAGAATCGCAGTCTTGAAGAGGAGCCGGTCGCGAGGAGCACAGCCGACTCAGCGATGAGAGCGCGAAGCTAGAGCCGGCCCAAGAGATAGAGAGAAATCTCTGGCGCTCGAGAAGCCTCGTTGGCGAAACTAATACGCGAAATCTGAGCGCGTCCTGTTAACTAGAATCGTAACTGGCGATACAGGTTGGACAGCTACAAGCGCGAGTGCGAACCGAACGATCGCGATGCGCGAAGCTGACCGCAGTTCCGGCGCGCTGAGAGAACAGCTGATGGACAGAGAGCACGCGTCGTTCACAACGTGATGAGCGGGATTGTACCTCCGATGTCGGCGAGGAGAGCTTTTAACGAAAAGCTCTTGACGACCGAGCGATCGCTTATTGGTAGCGATTGTCGAGCGGCTCGCTCGCTGCGAGAAAAATGCCTTATAAGGACCGCTTGGCGACATCGGCGATCTAACGTGCGAGTAGACTCGCGCTAACGTTTTTATTTATTTGGCCGAATGGTTGGCTTGGCAACCGCGACAAGCGAGCGAACGTTAGCGCGAAAAAAGTGGCTTCACGCAGGGGGTCGCCTGGTTGTCGCTAAGAGACTTGCTCGACTGAATGTTCTAGAACATTCGGCCGATTTTTCGAGACTGCTTTTGGCGATCTCGAACAAACACAGTTACCGCAATTTGACGCGAGACTGTCAGCTGTGTTTACTTTCAGCGGACACAGCCGCAAGGATCCCAGCCAGAAAAAACTGGAGCGCCGATAGAAGATCACGAGCAGACCCACGACGACAACAGTGAAATTTCTCGAGACCGAAGTACCGAAAAATGCCGATTCCCGAATGTTGAGCATCGCAGCGCGAGAGAGGAAGCGACGGAGGAGGATCAGCGAGGATACGCGATCCTCCGGCAGCCGACAAATCGCCAGCCTTTTTTTTTTTTTTTTTGACG